GAGCCTGGGGGTGCTGACTCTGGGGGTGCTGTGCGCGGGGGTGCCGAGCCTGGGGGTGCTACTGCGGAGGGTGCTGAGCCTGGGGGTGCTGAGCCGGGGGGTGCTGTGCCTGGAGCTGCTGAGCTAGGGGGTGCTGAGTCTGGGGGTGCTGAGTCTGGAGCTGCTGAGCCTGGGGGTGCTGGGTCTGGAGCTGCTGAGCTTGGGGGTGCTACGTCTGGAGCTACTGAGCCTGGGGGTGCTGCGTCTGGGGCTGCTGAGCCTGGGGTTTCTCCTGGTGCTGCGCCTCGGCGGGAGCCCCTCTCTCCACAGGAGCTGCGCGAGTGGTTTGCTTGCCGCTGGAGGCGTACTGCTGGAGCTGGAGCTTCTTCGACCGTCGAGGGTGCTGGTGCCGCCGGTCCCGGAGCTGCTGGGCCTGCGGGTCCTACTGGAGCTGGAGCTTCTGGAGGTGTTGGTGCTGAGGCTACAGCTGTCTGTCCTGGAGGTGGTTTTGCTGCTGGTGCTGCTGGAGGTCCTGCCGCTGAGGGTGCTGGTGCTGTCCCTGCTCAGCCTGGAGCTGCCGCGCGGCCTCGACCGTACTTCGTTCCGCTCCTGCAGCAGGTTCTTGGTCTTTCTCCTCCGGTAGAGTGTCCACAGCCTGTCCAGTCGCAGTCACTGTTGGAGCCTTCCTCCCCACTGCTTGCTCCCTCTCCTTACACTGGTCCTACTGGGGGTCTTGCTGAGCGTCGTGAGCCTGCGTCTCGTCCCGCGTCGCCTGTTCGTGCTGCTCGCGCTAGTGGTCGCGGTTCGCGTCAGCGTCCTCCTCTTGTCCCTGGCATGCACCGGATGTCTCTGCGTCCGTCCACTGCTCCTCTGCGTGCCCCTTTGCCTTCTCCTCCTGAGTCCTCTCTTCCTGCGCTTGCCGACCCTGAGTCGGAATCCCTTCGTGCTGCCAGTCCTACTGTCACGCGTCTGCTTGCTACTGTCGTCACTGACCCCTCTTTTGAGTCCACTGCTGCGTCTGCTCTTGTCGCTGAGCTCGTCGACTTTGCTGCTCGCTGTCGTCTAGACTACGCTGCTAGTCTTGTTGCTGAGTCTGCGTCTGTCTGTCCTCCGTCCGTCGGGGGTGAGTGTGCTCTTGGCACGGACGTCCTAGAGGACAGGCAGGAGGAGTTACAGTGTCTGGCTGCTGCTTCACCTCATCTCGCGTCTGTACTGCTTGCTCCTGAGGGAGACCCGGATGCACTAGACATCCCGACTCCGCGCTCTTACGCGGAGGCCGTAGAGGGTCCCTACTCCTCTCAGTGGCAGGCAGCTATGGATGCAGAGATGGCTTCCTGGAAGTCCACAGGCACCTACGTTGACGCGGTTCCCCCTCCTGGGGTGAACATCGTCAGTGGCATGTAGATCTTCAGGGTGAAGCGGCCGCCGGGCTCTCCACCTGTCTTCAAGGCGCGGTACGTCGCTCGTGGCTTGAGTCAGCGGCAGGGAGTTGACTACTTTCAGACCTTCTCTCCCACCCCGAAGATGACCACTCTTCGGGTGCTGCTACACATAGCCGCTCAGCGCGACTACGAGCTTCACTCTCTCGACTTCAGCACTGCGTTCTTGCAGGGTAGCCTGCACGAGGAGATCTGGCTGCGCCGTCCACCTGGCTTCACTGGGACTTTCCCTCCTGGCACCCAGTGGAGCCTCCGACGGCCAGTCTACGGTCTCCGCCAGGCACCGCGTGAGTGGCACGACACACTGAGGACTACGCTTGCGGCTCTTGGGTTTGCTCCTTCTACTGCTGACCCGTCGCTGTTTCTGCGCACCGACACTTCTCTACCGCCGTTCTACATCCTCGTGTACGTCGACGACTTGGTCTTTGCCACAGCGGACACTGCTGGACTCGCCTACGTGAAGTACGAGCTGCTGAAGAGACACACGTGCACAGACTTGGGTGAACTGCGCAGCTACCTTGGCTTGCAGATCACTCGGGACAGAGCACGCCGCACCATTACCTTGACTCAGTCACACATGGTGCAGCAGGTCCTTCAGCGCTTCGGCTTCACGTACTCCTCGCCTCAGGCCACTCCTCTGTCTACTCGCCACTCGCTCTCAGCTCTGCCTTCGGATGAGTCCGTAGAGTCGAGTGGCCCGTACCCAGAGCTTGTTGGCTGCCTCATGTGCCTGATGACCTGCACACGGCCTGACCTTGCATACCCTCTGAGCATTCTTGCACGCTATGTTGCTCCTCGGAGACACCGACCAGAGCACATGGCTGCAGCGAAGAGGGTATTGCGCTACCTGTGCAGTACGTCGGGCATGGGGCTAGTGCTTGGAGGGCGGAGTCCAGTGGTCCTTACAGGTCACGCGGACGCTTCTTGGGCTGACGACCAGGCTACGCAGCGGTCGTCACAGGGTTACACCTTCATCCTTGGTTCCGGCTCTGTCTCGTGACGGGCTACTCGTTCGTCTTCGGTTCTCAGCTCCAGTTGTGAGGCTGAGATCTACGCAGGGGCCATGGCTGCACAGGAGCTTCGCTGGCTCACCTACCTGCTTACTGACCTTGGAGAGCCGCCTCGTTCTCCTCCAGTGCTGTACGTAGACAACAAGGCCATGCTGGCCTTGTGTCGAGAGCAGCGTCTGGAGCACAGAACGAAGCACATTGCTCTTCGCTACTTTCTTGCTCGTGAGCTACAGCAGCGTGGACAGTTGCGGCTTGCGTACGTGGCCTCTGAGGCCAACACTGCTGATGTCTTCACCAAGGCATTCGCGCCTTGTGACCATCAGCGCTTCTGCACCCAGCTGGGTCTTGTGCCTATTTTGCCTCACTTGCTCTCCTCTTGACTTTACTTGTACTGTGACATATATATACCTGCTCTTGCTTGTCTAGCTTTATATATATGTCTGTACTCTTGCATGTGAACTGGCCTTTGGCCTTGCTCTTGTGCTCGGACTGTGTGGTGACTTTGTGATCCACCCTGAGCTTTGCTTTGCTTTGCTTGACTGGTCTTGTGGCCCCTTGTTCTCCCCCACTTTGCCTATGGGGGTGTGTCAGAACATATATATAGCTTATGCTATTGTGTAGGCTGTAGTGGGGTATCCCATAGGGGGTACAACCCAACTAGGGTTTCCTATATGTACTCACTTCATTCATAGTTCATTCATTCTCTTTCTATTCTCATCATATTTTTATGTACCTTGTTCGATTTTTCAGATTTTTTTTTTAATGAGTTGTCTGAAACTTCAGCCTTATCTTAGATCCGCCTGCACATGTTTGCGTGATTACGAGATTTCTAAGACAAAATCTCGTCACATATAAGCTTTTATTAATGTATTACAAAGATTAGACGATTTTGATGCAGCACGCACTGCTGTGAAATTGTGAAGCTCCTGATTCGTAGTGAAAGTTTCGTACGGCACTGCCAGATGCTCACACGCCACGCCAAACAGTTTCTGCCTGCTGCCAGCTCAGCTGCGTGGCACTTGGCCCACCTGGTACGTGACAACAACCAGATCGGGTGAACGATCGCATCGCTTGAAACGCAAATCCAAAATAGACAAAATCGGCACACTGCGAGAAAATGGCTACATAACGGTAATCACACACACGATTTCCCAAGCACGGCACCGCACTGTTCCGTTGGTATGCTGTAATCAGCTTCAATGCTCTATGACTATTCTTTTATGGAACTGCATGATCATCTTACAATTTGAAGGTAACTCTGACAGTTCAGACAAAAAAGTTGTGTTTGTTTGAATTTTCAGACTAGAATTTTGAGGCACCTCTGACAGAGGGGGTTCCAGGAGGGGTGTACACTGATCGATCAGAGTGCCTCAAAACGAATCTAGGGGCCTGAATAGCGCGCGGGGCAGAGCAGGGCAGAGCGACAGCGCGCGGGCTTGGCAGGGCAGGGCAGCGTGACAGTACGGGGCAGGGCAGGGCAGTGCGTGACGGCAGCAGCACCTGGGGCAGAGCAAACGGCGGAACCTAGGGGAAAAAAATGCTTTGAAGCCATGTCAAAATCTAGAATAGCGGAATGATTGAACTGAAACAGAATGTTGTACAAGTACCTAACCCTAACCCGGTTGTACCCTTGGGAAAGTAACCCGCTACAGCCTATAACCACAAAATGTAGTTTGACAAGCCCTTCAACCAGTCTCTTGTGCTGCCCGCTACCCTCGTGTCATGCGCGGGCCTGGGTATTGCTGGGTGGTGCAGAAATGTGGGTGCAGCACAGCGTGTGACCTCGAAACAGGGAATGCAACTCCTTCTATGCACCCTTGTACCGTATAGTTCCGGCTAGAAGACCCGCCGGTAAGAAGGTCCCCCGGGACTCTTGAATGGGTAGGGGGACTCTTATTGTGGCCGATTTTGTGAGGACCCCCCCTTGGCCTCTAATCATCATAAGACCCCCCTTTTCTGTATACAAAAGTTATAATTGATATTGTGCGTCAGCTTTTACTGGAATAAATCCGAATTCTGACACGCTTTTTGTGTCAGACTCGAACTCTGACACAGATCTGACGCGCCGCACGCGCAAAATTTGCGCAAATTCGTTACGAATATTAGACCCCCTCACCCCAAATTGAGTTGTACACCCTAAATATCAGATTGATAATTGACAAATAGGTTACCCCGGGTCTTAAAAAAATGCTGCCGCCATAATGTCCACCCAAGCACAATTTAAAGCATTTGTAGAGAGTCCCCCAGGTCTTCTAGCCGGAACTATACGGTATAAAACTTCTTACCGTACCCTCCATCCACCCATGTATGAAACCTCACACTCCATCTACCCGCGTCGCATGCGCAGGCCTAGTGCGAGGTGGTGCAGCACTTGAGCATGCAGCACACCATTGGTGGCCACCACTCCCCCTCCATGCGGACTGAAATACGTCAAGCTGCCATTGCTGCCGTCATTGCATCCTTGGTCGGGTGCATGTGTTGTGGCCGCACGTGCCGCTTCCTGATCAGCCTGCCCCACCTCCCCACCCAGTTCAAGCGGTTGCCCTGCGAAATCGGTTACCTGATGGGTGAGTCAGGGAGGGACGGGACGGGGATAGGACTTGCAGTGAGGGAAGGGGCAGAAAAGGGAGGAGCAAGGAGGGGAGCAGCAGGGAGGGGATGGGCAGTGAGGAGAGAGGCAGCAACGGGAGGGACCGGAAGGGGAAGAGAGGAATTGAGATCTCCAAGTGAACCATCCGTGTTGAACTCTTGTGTGTGCGTGCGGTGACATTGGGAAGGCAGTGGCTACAGCCCATGTGTTAGCCTGCAGTGGGTGCTGGCGACTACAAACGGGAGCAAGGTGCAAGTGACTTGCAGCAAGGGGGGAGCGAGCAAGGCGCACCTGTCCGCCTGCCTCGGTGACGCAGAGCACGCCAGCAGCGTGGTCCCACACCTTGAGGTGCGGGCTGCCTGGCAGCGGGTGCTGAATGAAGACTGCTGCATAGCCTAGCGCCACCGCTGCGTACTTGCACAGACTGGCAGGGGGAGGGGAAAAAATGGGGGTGGGGACAGGAAGAGAGATGGTTGTATGCACAGTGCTACTGCCAGCGCCACTCCTACGTACTTGCACAAACTGACGATGGGAGAGGGGGAGGGATGGGAGGCATACGAGGAGACGTGGTTACTGCATGCACAACGCTGCTGCACAGCCCAGAACCACTTCCCATACTTGCAAAAACCGCATGGGGGAAGGGGGAGAGGCACCCGAGGAGAGATGCGTTGATGGGCTGGCAAGTATGGCAGCCTCATGGCGGCACGCACCCTGCTGCTGCATAGTCCAGTCCAGTGCTACCCACCAGCTCATAGCTGGAAATGTTGAATGGGGGAAGGGGAATGGACAAGCTCGGGACGTAAGAGTTCAGTTGATCCAGCAGTAAAGCCCCAATGGTAAAGACTGTAAACCGCCTCCCCTGTGCACCTCCGCACCCACCTGCCACAGCAGAGCGGCAGCACGGTGACATGCGAGGCGTTCGGCGCGGCGGCTTCCAGGCCCCTCGCGAGGGGCAGCGACGGCCACTCCTCGTGGTCCGATATGCACACACACAGCCGCCTGCTGCTGCTGGTGGGGGGGATGGGGGTAGGGGGGGTGGGGTTGGGGGTGGCAGTGCTGCTGTGGACGCCATGTGATGCCAGCACTGCACCACTGCTGATGCTGCTGTGGCTCTGGCTGGCGGGACCATGGCTGCTGTGCCTGCTGCTGCTGCTCTCATCCCACGCACTGCCATCCCAAGGTGTGCCCCGGAGCGGGTGTGTCTGGTCGGCGCTGTGCTCGTGGGTGGTACCGCATGCCAGCATGTTGCGCACCCCCACGTCCACGTGCACCCGCTCATACGCCCACTCCACACCTCCACTGGCGCTGCTGCTGATGTTTGGGTTGCTGCTGTGCGTGATGCTTGTTTGGCTGCTGCTGTGTAATCGCCGCATCCACGCCCCTCCTCCCTTGGTAGCTGCTAGGATCACTCCACGTGGCCTCTGCCACATGTCATCTCCTGATTCACTCTCCACGTCAACCTCACCAGCTGCTGCAGACCCTGTCACGTCAGCAGCGTCGTTCGATTGAGTGGCTGAGGAGGTGCCACGTGGCAGGGGCATGTTGGGAAGGCCAAGGGCTGAAAGGACGAGCTCTCCGTCCTGGATAAGAGCCATCCCGACCTGAGGGAGGGGAGAAATGAGCATCGAATGAATTACATAACATGCAGACAGCCTTCAGACGCCAATTTGGCGTAAGAGCGAGGGAAGAGAATAATGAGAACAAGAAGTTGACGCAATAGAACACATTGGCACAATGCAACTCACTGCATCTTGACGCAATGCATTGGATCAGAACAGACCACCCACGTCACGGCGTAACTGATTCCTGCCCGGAGGGGCACTCCCTGCTCTCTCCTATAATAAGCTAGACAATCAAGGGGACGTAGACTTCTACATACTACTACGCTTTCGATAGGAATCTGAACATGTTTGTCTTGCCAATAAACTTTCTACATCATTTAGAGACATTTCTAATAAGTCTGCAATAGGGCACGAGCATGAGGGGCATCTCACAGCGTACTGGTTGTGGTGGCCCCTGAGAAAGCCTCGCGTGCCATCAATGGGGTCCAGCACCTGTGGTGTGCGACATGGGGGCATGCGACAGCATGCGACACAGCAGCATGAGAGCCAAGGCAAGCGTGAAGGAGGACAAACAGCATGCGACATGGCAGCATGCGACACGACAGCATGCGACATGGCAGCATGGGACACGACAGCATGGGACATAACAGTATGTGAGATAACAGCATGGGACATAACAGTATGTGAGATTACAGCATGGGACATAACAGTATGTGAGATAGCAGCATGCGACATAACAGTATGTGAGATAAAACAATGAGGGCCGAGGCAAGCGTGAAGGTATAGAAAAAAAAAAAAGAGATTGAAGTGGAGAGGACAGGACAAAAAACAAGAAGAAAAGCTAGGTGTGGTGTGGGGCATGAGATGGATAGGGGGGCATGAGATGGATAGGGGGGCGGTGCAGAAAATGCGAAAGGAGGGGGGTTGGGGGGGAAAAGGGGATGTGAGAGATGGGGGAGAGAAGAAGGGTGCGGATCTTACCCAGTATCTCGTGTGCCTGGGAGCAGCAGTGGTCGCAGCATCAAGGTCGTGTGTGGCAGCAGCGGCGGCATCAATGGCTCCCAGCACTGCCTCCACTGCTGCCGCCCGCCCTTCACTCCCCTCCACAGCGCCTTCCCCTGCGCCACCCAGCGCCAAGGCGTGGGGCGAGGCGAAGCGGAGAACGAGGTTCGTGACCCGCTCCGCCAGCGAAGGCCCTTGCTCCCCGCCTCCTGCTGCCCCCGCTGCTGTGGTACCTGCAGCACCGGCTGCTGCTGCTGCAGTGGCTGACCCCACAGCAGCACCAGTCACTGCCTGTGCTGCTGGTGGCGAAGGCGTGCGGGCAGAGGGGGCAGCGAGGTGGGCGCGCAGCAGAGAGGCGTCCTCCTCGCCCACCAGTGGCACGCCGGGGAACTGCTGTGCCAGCTCTGACCATGATGGCCAGTGAGGGGTGTGGTGGACAGTGGGGGATGTGGTGGACAGTGGGGGATGTGGTGGGCAGTGGGGGATGTGATGGGCACTGGGGGATGTGATGGACAGTGGGGGATGTGACGGACAGTGGGGGATGTGATGGACAGTGGGGGATGTGATGGACAGTGGGGGATGTGATGGACAGTGGGGGATGTGATGGACAGTGGGGGATGTGATGGACAGTGGGGGATGTGATGGACAGTGGGGGATGTGATGGACAGTGGGGGATGTGATGGACAGTGGGGGATGTGATGGACAGTGGGGGATGTGACGGACAGTGGGGGATGTGATGGACAGTGGGGGATGTGATGGACAGTGGGGGATGTGATGGACAGTGGGGGATGTGATGGACAGTGGGGGATGTGATGGACAGTGGGGGATGTGATGGACAGTGGGGGATGTGATGGACAGTGGGGGATGTGACGGACAGTGGGGGATGTGATGGACAGTGGGGGATGTGATGGACAGTGGGGGATGTGATGGACAGTGGGGGATGTGATGGACAGTGGGGGATATGATGGACAGTGGGGGATGTGATGGACAGTGGGGGATGTGATGGACAGTGGGGGATGTGATGGACAGTGGGGGATATGATGGACAGTGGGGGATGTGATGGACAGTGGGGGATGTGATGGGCACTGGGGGATGTGATGGACAGTGGGGGATGTGACGGACAGTGGGGGATGTGATGGACAGTGGGGGATGTGATGGACAGTGGGGGATGTGATGGACAGTGGGGGATGTGACGGACAGTGGGGGATGTGATGGACAGTGGGGGATGTGATGGACAGTGGGGGATGTGATGGACAGTGGGGGATGTGATGGACAGTGGGGGATATGATGGACAGTGGGGGATGTGATGGACAGTGGGGGATGTGATGGACAGTGGGGGATGTGATGGACAGTGGGGGATGTGATGGACAGTGGGGGATGTGATGGACAGTGGGGGATGTGATGGACAGTGGGGGATGTGATGGACAGTGGGGGATGTGATGGACAGTGGGGGATGTGATGGACAGTGGGGGATGTGATGGACAGTGGGGGATGTGATGGACAGTGGGGGATGTGATGGACAGTGGGGGATGTGATGGACAGTGGGGGATGTGATGGACAGTGGGGGATGTGATGGACAGTGGGGGATGTGATGGACAGTGGGGGATGTGATGGACAGTGGGGGATGTGATGGACAGTGGGGGATGTGACTGGACAGTGGGGGATGTGATGGACAGTGGGGGATGTGATGGACAGTGGGGGATGTGATGGACAGTGGGGGATGTGATGGACAGTGGGGGATGTGATGGACAGTGGGGGATGTGATGGACAGTGGGGGATGTGATGGACAGTGGGGGATGTGATGGACAGTGGGGGATGTGATGGACAGTGGGGGATGTGATGGACAGTGGGGGATGTGATGGACAGTGGGGGATGTGATGGACAGTGGGGGATGTGATGGACAGTGGGGGATGTGATGGACAGTGGGGGATGTGATGGACAGTGGGGGATGTGATGGACAGTGGGGGATGTGATGGACAGTGGGGGATGTGATGGACAGTGGGGGATGTGATGGACAGTGGGGGATGTGATGGACAGTGGGGGATGTGATGGACAGTGGGGGATGTGATGGACAGTGGGGGATGTGATGGACAGTGGGGGATGTGATGGACAGTGGGGGATGTGATGGACAGTGGGGGATGTGATGGACAGTGGGGGATGTGATGGACAGTGGGGGATGTGATGGACAGTGGGGGATGTGACGGACAGTGGGGGATGTGATGGACAGTGGGGGATGTGATGGACAGTGGGGGATGTGATGGACAGTGGGGGATGTGATGGACAGTGGGGGATGTGATGGACAGTGGGGGATGTGATGGACAGTGGGGGATGTGATGGACAGTGGGGGATGTGACGGACAGTGGGGGATGTGATGGACAGTGGGGGATGTGATGGACAGTGGGGGATGTGACGGACAGTGGGGGATGTGATGGACAGTGGGGGATGTGATGGACAGTGGGGGATGTGATGGACAGTGGGGGATGTGATGGACAGTGGGGGATGTGACGGACAGTGGGGGATGTGATGGACAGTGGGGGATGTGATGGACAGTGGGGGATGTGATGGACAGTGGGGGATGTGATGGACAGTGGGGGATGTGATGGACAGTGGGGGATGTGATGGACAGTGGGGGATGTGATGGACAGTGGGGGATATGATGGACAGTGGGGGATGTGATGGACAGTGGGGGATGTGATGGACAGTGGGGGATGTGATGGACAGTGGGGGATGTGATGGACAGTGGGGGATATGATGGACAGTGGGGGATGTGATGGACAGTGGGTGATATGATGGCGCACGGAGTGTTGTTGGTTCTGGCAGGGACTGTTCAGGGACTTCACGCGAAGAAAGAAAGTACTGGCCGATGCAGCGTCAATCCATGCTTGACAGGAGCAACTAAAGGAGAACGAAGTGAAGGTGGAGGGATGGAGAGGAGTGAGTGGAGGGGCAGCCGGAGAAGCACATACAGGTGGGGTGCGACCCACTGACGCCCAGGCTACTGCCACACAAGCAGGCCGCTGGCCGCCCGCCTTGTGGCTTGGCACGGGGAGGGGGAAGAGATCACCCACCGAGAGCAGCAAGGGGGGGAATAGCAAAGCACCCACCGAGAGCAGCAAGAGCCTGCACGGCGAAGTCAGCAACAGTGACGGGCGAGCAGTCCTTCTTGTCCACGCTGCTGCTGCTGCTGCTGCTGCCCTCGCTCTCACTGCCACTGCTGTACCCCCCCTGCTCCTCCGCTACCATCTGCTCCCTCACCTGCCGGAATCAGGAGAAGGAATACGAGCATGTGAGATCACGTGAGAGAGGGGAAAGCGCATGGCGAAGGTGGCAAGGTGTTCTTGTGGCTGGTGAGAAAGGACGGAACGGAAAGGAAAGGGGGGCCAGGGGAGGGTACGACAATGATGGGAAAGGAAAGAGGCGAGAGGATAGGATAGGAACGGGAGGAGGGAGGAGAGCGGAGGCAATTATACTCACAGCAAGGCACACGTGGCATGCCCTCTCCACCACTTCCACTGCCGCTGCCAGCTCAGCAGCTAACTCCGGCTTACAAATGCCGATAACATCAGCAGCCACGTCAGATGCTGTGGCGGCATTTCCCGACGCTGCTGCATGAGAAGAAACGGAGAAAGTTCCCAGAGGGGCGCGATGGAGGCTGGCAGGAGGGAGGGTGGGGGTGTCAGGGAGGAGAGGAAAGGGAAACAAGGGGGATGGGACATGCAAATAAGAAAAAACGTGTGATGTGATTCTAAATTGCAGGCCAGGGCGCCAGTGACACCACTAATGTGAAACAAATCTCATCATCTGGGACCAAGATGCCTTGTTCATAGCTACCAGTCCAACGGTCAACACAGCAGTGACCATCTGGGCCTCTCACAGTTGTGGTCCTGCACCAATCAGGAGGTGGTAAGGGAACAGTACAACGAAGGACAAACAATAAAGTATGTTTTTAAAGGGGCAGAACTCTACCTTGGCGCGTTCACACTGCCGGAAAACGAGCGTCTGTGACCCGCGACGCTGACTCCTGGGCTCGCGGGATTTGGCGTGACGCGGAGAGCAGCCACGTGGCCAACAGGCAATCGTCTAGCTGAAAAGGCGGAACCGATTTGCGGGAACAAATGCACTTGCTCTTGACATAGGCGTGCGCGCAGCATGCGCGGAGTATGGCGCGGCTCAGCAAGAGGCTTGAGCCAAGGTGCCTGGAGAGATTGCGCCATGATAAGGATGAGAGAATCAAGGAGAAAGGTAATGAAATTAAATTCGTCCCATGCTCTCTGGAAAACAGCGTCTCAAATTCCAATACTGATGTCTCAAGTAGGGGCTATGTTGAATGGAAACACGACGAAGGTGTAGTGTCGTTCATGGGTGGTGTTGTCGCGAGGGTGGGCATGCTCGATAACGAGGGTTACGTACGCAGCCTCGCTAGGTCGAGACTTCCCACATTGGCGGAATTGTGGTGTACGCCAATCGCGAGATCGCTAATGTATGTACACTGACCTTAGGCAATTTCGCCTTCTTACTTATAATGATAACATCACATCACAGCATTCAATGACAGCAGGCTTGCAGTCTCAAACTCTTGGACTAGTTACTGGCCACGCAGAATGAAAGGGCTCAGGACTCATAAGACAGCAATAACTGAATAAACTCAACATCACTATTCATTCCTACAGTCTCAACTGTTCACCCAGGATTCCGTGCCATTTAGGGTGCATTCTGCTGTGGACACATGTCCCAATCGATGTGTCCCAATCGAGTGTACCGCTCCGAACCGAACTAAACCAGAGACGTGAAAATTTCGAAACTAGGGTGCAATTTGGTGTAATACGATGCAGTGCGGTAGAAACGATTGGGACACATCGATTGGGACATGTGTCCACAGCGGAATGCACCCTTAGTGTCCCCTTCACGTTATCCTTATCCGCGTAGCAGAATCTGTCTCGCATGTTCCCTACCAGAGCACCATTCTAGCAGGCTGCAGGTGCGGCCTCCCAAGCGGGCTCAAAGTCATCCATGGAGACAAACGTCCTGACCCTAACTATGGAGTTGAACGACACCTTCTTTCGCATCTGCGACAGCCTCGTTCCTTTCTCCCCCGTCTTGGCAGGCGGTGAGACAGGCACCATAGGGTGCGAAGAGGAGAGCATTGAGGACGATACGCTGCGATGTGGAAGCGATGCACACGGAAGTGCTCCCGCAGGCAAGGGATCGTGAGCGGAGGGGAGAGGGACTTGCATTCCTGGAACTTCACCACATGAAATTGCTGCGGCATTTGCAGCACCAGCAGCGGCGGCCGCTGGTGTGTGGAGAGGCGCTGCTGGTGGTGCTGCTTGCAAATGGGGAAGATCGGAGCAGGAGGAGATCTTCCGCGGCGTGCCTCTCCTGTACAGACGACGCATGCTGGTCCCAGTATGCAATTTGGCAGGCACTGATTGGTTGGCGGCGGCTGAAGCATCAGGGCTGGGAATGGCACAGGAGTAGAGCATGGAGCACTCCGGCGAGCTGCAGAGATGCGTGCTGCCCCCGATGGGGGGACCACAGATGCTACCTTGGTCGTCAACCAAATTCCCGCAGCTGCTGGCGCCCAGCATCCGTGCCTCGTTGAACGTTCCCATGGCCCCTGTCGTTGTTCCCGTTCCCGATACTGCTCCGTCTGCCCCAGTCCTCGTCCCCACTCCCAGTGGGGCTCTTTCTGTGCCTGTGCTCATCCTCATTCCCGATTGCTTGTCCTCCATGAGAGGAGAGCGGTGCAAGGCAGGGTCGTCGGGGCAAGGATTCAGCTTCTGGGTGCGGAGTGAAGAAGGACTCAACGGATCCAGAGAGGCACGACGTGCCGTAAGAGTTGGACTGCATGGCAAAGAATGAAGGTCGTCCCGTGGGGTGTGTGCTGCATGCTCAAGTGACTTGGATTCCACAATGCTGCCACCAGTAGCACCACCACCACCACTGCCACCACCATCAGTGGCGGCAGCAGCTTCAGAAGCAGCATCACCACCACCAGCAACAGCATTAGACGCAGCAGCAACGGATGCCAGCAAGCCATCGTTGAAAGAGACGGACCGACACAACCTCCTCATGCTCCCTCCTTTTGGCGTCACCACGCCACGCCTGACGCTCCATGATGACCTGTCACCTGCACCGCCGCTCAGGCTCCCTAACTGATCCCCTCTAAGAACACCTTCGTTACTGCCACTTTCCCTTGCGGCCGTTAAAGTCCCATTCCATCCATTGAGGCTTCGACTCGATGTCATCAGAAGCTGCCAGGAAGCCCCCCAGGACGGCTTCGTAGCACCAGCAGCAGTCAGGGGCAAGGAATCCGCAGCAGACTCGCCTGCTGCGCTCTTGCTTGGAGCACCCTTGGCTGGCGCACACGCGGAACAGCCTTGGGAGTCGCGCAGCAGCAGCGCGCCCCACGCCTCGTCCATGTGCGCCTGCCGCGCCTTCGCCTCCGCTGCGCGCTGCTGAATGAGCTCCGCGTGCGGGCTGCGCACGGCCGTGGGGGACAGCGGCTGCCACCTCACAGGAGTGACACGCGTGGGGGACGGCGTGATGTTTAGAGGAGGAACGGGTGTTTCAAGCGCTCGGCGTGCTGCGAGGGTGGAGGCGGTGCGCTGGTCGAGTCCAGGTGTGATTGCAGATGCTCGTGAGACCGGCGAGCGTAGGAGTCGCGGGGAGGGTGGAGGGCGCGGGGAGGGTGGAGGGCGCGGGGAGAGCCGGGTGGTTGGGCTGGGAATGGCAGCGGAATCGCTGGTAACAGCCGGTCCTCGTCTTGATGGTTGGCTCGTCAACACAATGCTGCTGCTGTCTTGGGTGCTGCCTTGCGTGCTGCTGACTGGCATGGCGCCAGTAATCGTGCCGGCCAAAAGCGGTGCTGTGGCCACGTGCGCAGTGCTGGATCAGGTGTAATGCGGGGTAGCACGGGAACGGGAGGAGGAAAGCAAAGGGAGAAACGGTGAGTTGGAGAGGTAGTGGAGAGCTGAGACTTGCGGGGGGGAGAGGGAAAGCGATAGAAGCGCGAAAAGGACTCCTCGGATGAGAGGGTGGTAGTAGGAGCGAGTTGGGGAACAGAAAAGGGCGGAAACGAGGCAGTTGACAGCAGGAAGAGGGGCACAGGGTTTGCTAGACTACTGGATAGTGCGGCCGACACAGGATCACGTAGACACAGGCAATGAGGGTCCGTCAACATGGGCTTATGCACGGAGAAAACGAACACAGCAGGAAGGGACCAGCAGCAGCTTAATAAAAAAAAACTATAGGCTACCAAATTAGGCTGTATATGCAATCATGATGTGCACCAAGACAGCGTATCATGCTCTACCACTCCAGGGCGGAAAGCGTGAGTCCTCACGAACCAGGATGAGACATGGGAAGCACTCGCCGCTGGGCTGCTGATAGAAGGCGGCTCGCACGTATCGCCCCCAACGGTCGGCTTGGAAGAAACTACACAGGGCCCGCCGACCGTCGCCCTGATCCAATCTCTCTTCCGCCTGGACTCCTCTCGCGAGGGCGAGGGCGTCTGAGGTGACAATAACGAGGCCAGCGACGGCGGCGATCTGTCCAAGCTTTGCGCGGAGGAGAGGGACAGGGCGGGCGAGATGCGAGGATCGGCCGATTCTGGCAGGGCGGGGGACGACAAGGAGCGCGAGAAACGTGCTCCTAGCAACGCCGCGGCCCTGCCAGGGGATAACCCGGCCGCCGCCGCTGGCTCCGAGCCGCCGGCGGACAAAGGTGGCGGAAAACCTTCCGACGATGAGTGCTGCGTTGTGTCACGCACGTTCGTGCCACCCGCGCTGTTACTACCAGCGCTGAGGTGAAATAAGGCCGCGGTTGGTCGCCGGGCTGACGCCTTAGTGTCCAATGCTTCGTCGCGCCGCCCGCTGCTCGGCGGAGCCTCAGTGTCGAGTCGTTCGTCCAACCAAGCAGCCGGCCTGGATGCGGCGACTCGGCGGAAGTTGGAGACGGTAGGAAGGTTCAGCAAGAGATCGGGTTTCCGCGATGAGCGCCGGGTTTGGAGCGACTGCGAAATCATGTTGTTGGATGGATGTGGCTTGGGATAGGAGCGGGCCATCCTACTACTAACGAACGTCTCTCGGACTGAATGCCTTATGGTTCGCAAGTGACACGCGTTGGGGGGGTGGATTGCTGCGAGACCCAAGAGAGAACCTGCTCCTCCCAAGAGTGAATTGCTCCTCCCGATTGAAGTTGAATGGCGTGGCGTGCCGTTGTCGGACGAGTCACGAATCTGCCAGAAGCCGTACTGTAGAGTCATATCGAAGTTTGTGCCGAACGCCATCGTTTTGAACACGTTTTTGCAACAGTTGAATCGGTCGTGGCCGTGCGGCGCACGCGAGTTCAAGCGAGTGACGAAGTGCGCACTGCGCAGGGGTTCTAGTCTAGGTGCGTTAGTGGAAGGTATTAGCATGAGTAGTGTGACATGATTGGTGCAGCCGCTTGACTACGGGCAGCTTACAGTATCTGTTTACTGTGTGACTGTGAATGTTGAATGTGATCGTGAGAGATTCCGATTTTTTTGTACGCGTCATTCCCCTTACACCTCCCCCCACTCTGCCTTTTCAGCTTTGTGCGAAAGCTGTGCGTCATTCATGCTGTCAGTTCGAGTCCGTAGGGTTGACATGTCAAGTGAGAGCAGGCCATCCCGAAGCCAATTTCATAAGTGTCCGACGATATGTATTGGCTAGCAACCTGCAATTTCTTGACACCCTGCCAACAATGTTGGCTGAGTGTCAAAATGCAAAATTGACATTGCCCACTTTGACATGTCATCCCCACGGACACGACCTCACTTGACCGCCAGGGACGTGGGTCAGTCAAGTTGAGATAGAAGGATGGTACACTTAATTTCAATGCTGACTCTTATGAGTTGTGAAAGTCGAGAGTGCACGGAGTTCAATAACGTGAAAGTGATTCCAACTAATGACTGAGTAATGAAGCCTAAGACAGATATAGCAAAATGCTAGCTAGGTGGGGTCTGCGGGATTGAGATGGTTGGGTGCTGGTTCAGGGTTGTCAAACCCGAAGGCGACACGAAGGACATTCGGAAGGCGAGGACATCAGATTGAGCCTGGTCTTCTGAAATTTCGATTTGTACGCGTACGGAGTGACCCAGTAAGGAATCCGGAAAAAAAAAATCTTACAATATCCCCCCTTTAAAGGTTAAGACCCAAATTGCGGGCCGCGCGAGGCAGGAGTACTATTCTTGCACACTTCTCGTTTTTTGTATTGTATGTTGGCAAAACTCTGGTTACGGTAGTTGCGATGTAATTTGATTGGTTGAAGCAACACTTACTGCAGAAACTCCATGCTTCTTAACTCTGCAATTTGGAACTCTCGGTCCCCAACCACAGAGCCTCTCCCGAAGTTCGTTGACACAGCGAAACCAACATAAGTGCAACAAAAACATACAAGCTGTTACGATATGGAATTGTCGTTTAACATTCTAGAAGTAACGAAGTTTCAATGCGATCATGACTGCGGCGAGGACGAAGGTTGAGCGACAAAACATGTTATCGAAGACGGTTGCGAGAAGGAATAGTTTGAAGTGCAAAGCGCGGGAAATGCATTCAAACAGTTACCGTGCCGCGTGCAGCTACTGAACCGGATAGTTGTCTTCACTATTTAGATTAGCCCTAAGGGGATGTACCCCCTCCGAGTACATGGCTAGTTACGACATTTCGCATTCCCCTGCATCACACTTGAGTTTCGAGCTAGAACTGCTCCTCCAAAGAGCCCAAATTTTCTGCTTCTTTGACGGAAGCTACGTCGGGTTCACCAGCGACACCGATAATGCCAAGGCGCAATATTACAGCGAATCACTCATGGCGTACAACGTTCTCCTACGCAATATGTCGAGGATCAAACAACGCGGCATACGCTCGTTTTAACTGAACCTGCTCCCACTATAAAGGCTTGAAACTACCTAACCAAGCTTACCAGCCGAAGGGTTCCGTCTCCTTGAGCCGCCTGCTGCAGCAACTGATGGAAGTCAAAATGACTCCAAGCAAAAAGGCTAATGACAACGTTAATTGTTGTCGCGTCATCCGCGATCAACTCGTCAAATTAAGAAACTCGATCGCTGAAGACATTTTTGTCACTAAAGTCTTCGCTGGACTGGAAATAGACTAGAATGTCAACGGGAGTTGTTTGTTGGCCCCGTCCTCGCTTGGGCGGAGCTGATTTCGTGGTCGGGTGAGCTGGAGGTGCTGCCAACCTGCAGCAGTGGGCGCCGGCTTCGGAGGGCGCCGAATTCAGGAGGTCGACTTGGGAGGTCGACCTGATAGGGCGTCGACTTGGTGATGCCGTCCTGGTGAAGCGGACCTGATTTGGTCGGCTGACAGCAGGGTTGGTCGACCAGGGGTGTGGTTGACTTTGTCGGGTCGACCAGGTGGTGGTTGTCGACCGAGGCAGTCGACAGGCACGAAGAGGAGAGGCGCCAACTTGGGGGGTGCCGACCTGGGGAGTGGCCGATTTGGTGAAGTCGGCTGGTGGTCGTCGACTTGGGTAGTCGACAAGCATATACACCTTCTGATCGACTTTCCTTGAAGAAGTCGACGCCGACCTGGTGGTTTGCAGGTCGACCAAGTAACCCGGGCGACGAAGTTATGCGGAGGCACGCGACAGTCGCCCAGGTGTTAGTGGCGAGGCCGATCTCGGTATGGTGTCCCGAGGTCAACATGGCTGATCAGATGCCGTCGTCAGCGCCGGGTTAATTTGGTGTGTGCGCTGTGCAGGTGACAAGGCATGGCACGCCAATCATATGCGAGCACCTGCGAAGCAGGTGTGCTGCTGTTCTGCGGATGCAACGTTGGGACGCAGTCGACCTGCGACGTTGGCACGCCGTCGACTTGCAGTGTTGGCAAGCCATGACTATGCACTGCTGGAGCGCGGTCGACCAAGGCGTGCTGGAACGAGATTGACCATGCTGCGCTGGCAGTTGACCTGCTTGAACGATAGCTTTGATTTAGTCTTGTCTTGCCAACTTAATTATACCATTGTTCTCAACTTTTGCTAGTGAAACTCTTGCGGTTTTGCCCCGTGAATGCACAAGTGCTAGAGAATGACTAAGGGAACGAACGCAAAGGTCCCTCCTACCCCGTGCCTAGCCCGTAATCTAACTCCCATTGATAGAGTTATCTCTGCATGGTGCGGTGAGCGTGGACGTCACACGACTTACCTTTCAGTCAGGTCGACGTAGTTGTCATAGGCCGTAGGCCGGCAGCTGTGCGGTAGTCACTATGGTAGGCGCCGTAGGTGACATTGGGGTGGTGGACACCCTGGATGCACAGCTAGAGGATGCGAGGAGACGCCATGAGGCCCAGGAGTACGGAGCAATACCCTGGGTGGTCGTTGAGGTTGGACTCCGCACCGTGTGGGCAACGGAGCACCCTTCTCGGCCTGCCTCTCCTCGACCGGTAAATACCGAGGGCGGCGTCGACGTGGGCGTCCACGCCGGTGGTGGCCAAGTCGACAGCAGTGTGGGAGGCACATTGAGGCAGCGAGGAGTGATTCACGTCGATGATGTCGGCGGCGTTCAGGCGCGAGGGATGCAGTTGTCAGCGGCTGGACGCACCTCGCAGGGTGACGTCTGTGGACATCAGAGTGGAATGACGTCGATGTTGGCGACCCATGTGACTGCGGGTGGGATAGCACCGAACTACGGCTACTTCAAGTTCACGCCGGACAGGATCTCGGTCACCCCACTACTCGTTGGTCGATCGGACATCCTCACCTGGGAGGAAGCCATCGAGCCCCAGCTGGAGATGGCCAGGATGATCGGCTTTACCAGGGGCACTGTGGCGACGCCAGAGGAGAACTACCCCGACCTGCGTGCGGAATTTCGCACCGTGCGGTTGGTGACCTTCACGGATATCTTGCGGTGCTGCTCGCCGGGCGTGCAGATCACCTTGAAGTCGTGCAGGGAGTAGCTCGACGCCGACCACCGGGCGTGGCACTTCATCGAGTTGACGTACCAGGTCACCGGCGACCTGTACATCGGCTAGCTTAAGGAGCAGCTGTCACACATACGGATGGGCGAAGAGGAGACGGGGACCGACTACTGCAACCGGGCTCGGCAAATTCTCGCCACCATGAGGATGGCCGGCGTGCACTACTCGACGGCTTCGTACCTCACGCACGTCATCAAAGGGCTCATGAGCAGGTACAATCCGC